CCGTTAAGTCTCCATTGTCTTTGAAACCTTTAGTTTGTCTCTTTCCAAGATGATATGTAACTACTTCTATCAAAAGTTCTTATTACGTCGTTCTTATCACACCTTGGTAGTTACATATAGAGATAAGAAATTGAATCTCGACAAGATATTCGACGACACATAACGCACACACACAAGAATACTTATAAGATAACAAAATATCTCAAAGCACACACATTTAAGTGAAACATATTCATGTCGCAAGCAACAGCATCAACCTCTGACAAGATGGTTCTATCGCTTCATACATTACCGATCGAATTGGTTTATCACATTCTCGATAACCTTCAACCAAAAACAATTCTACTATCATGTAGAAACGTTTGCACAAAACTCAATGCCATCATAGATACGTATCATCCGTATCAGGTAATCTTTGGTTTTATTATAAAGTCACATTTTTATCACCTCTCCAATGCTTCGTTTTCTTCTAGAAAATATATTATTTGATTTATTTTCTTGTTTCTGATTTTAAATGAATAGATTTCATACGATAGTATTCTATAGAGGAATATTCATAAACATTGTCAAAAATTGTTTAAATCTCAAAATTTTCCACGAAGTCTTGGAAAATATAGAAAAAAATTACCAATTTTTCTAAGATGTCGAAATTATTTTTTTCAATTAGACAGCATTTGAGTTTCATTGAACTGTGAGGTGTGGTGCGAAGCAGGCCTCGAAACGAGTCACCCGGTTCCGAGAGATTTTTCTTCCGAGCTGAATGAGCCTAAATTTCTGTTGGGCCACCCAGCTCGAACTTGATTTCTTTTTACATGGATGTTTTCCCACGTAAGCAAAAAGAGAAAAACTATAATATTAATCGATTAATAAAGACTAAAATAAATTGAAATCTATCTTTAAACCTGAACAATTGGATGTCAATCAAAATTAAATAGCATCATTTTAATCGCGTTTATTCTGGTTTTTCATCAAATTTTTTGCATGGGTTATGCACTTTGCAATCGATCAGAATCGGGAGGCTTTGCTATACGAACGCTTTCAAAGTTTTATGCAGGCAATAAATATAAACAGAGCGCTTATTCAGCTCGATGACGTCACTCATCTCAAGGAGACAAAAAAAATGAGACTTCAGTAGTTCGAAGTACGAGTGAAGTACCGTACTTTCCTTGTACTTCAGAGTAATGAAGACTTGGTTATTCCCTCTTACCTCATCCACGCACCAGACCGAGTGAACTATCAACTGTAGATTATCAAAAACTATTGATATCTTATGTATGCGTTGGTAAAATCATTGTTGTACCATCCTCGAAACGTCGATTGATACGTTAATATATAAACAGGCTTTAGATGAATACTAACTAACATACTCTTCCAAATATTCCGATCTATTGTGATAATCCTTAATGATTTTCGTGATGTAAATAACTTGCAAATCATAAAAATCAGCTATTTCTCCTTAGTTACTCTCAAGTGGGTAGAGAAAAATTTTTAAATAAGGTTCTTCACCAAGATCCTATGTAGAAAACGGCTAAAAATCTGATTTAAATGGATTTTTATACAAAAAAACACAAAAAAATCGATTAAACATGACAATTTCTGATTAAAGTTGACAACATAATCAATTATAATAGATTTTATCCGAAAATAATCTATTAAAATCGATTATCCCAGAGAAATCTGAAAAAACAGATTATTAATCAAATCCACTAAATCTGATTTTGTAAATAATCCGACAAAGTCAGATTCTACCAAACAAATCTTTAAAAATCGATTTTAATTCGATTTTTAGACATTTTTTTACATGAGAATTTCTCTCTATTGTTGATTTAAGCTACATACCACAGAGAGCAAACGATTACAATTGTCAGGACACTCTACAAGCGGTTCGAATTATAGACAATCAGTTTTAATCTGTTTTTGGTTAAATACTGGAACTAAACCATATCATGTAAATTAATCAATTTTAATCGATTTGAATCCGAAAACATCAGTTACAACAGATTTTTAAAATGTAACCGATTTTTGATGTAATTACACCATCTCAATTCGAAATAATTTGTATTAGGGGTTTCAACTTTATCTTATCTGAGTGACTTTAGCTCAGTGACAAATTCATAATTATGAACATAAGTAATCTAAATAACCATGGAAAACTAAAGATATGGTGTTCGAATCTCGAAAAGTAACCAATTGGATGTGTATTATTAGAATCGATTACCAAGTAATAACAGATTAAAACTGATTAACAGGTAATAATGGATTAAAATTGATTAACTGGTATTCGGTGTAAATGAAATCCGAAAAATTTGATTTTCATAGATTTTTTTTGTCTATAAATATAGATTAATACGGCACGATTGTAATCAGATTTTAATCAGTTTTTTAATCTTAAAAAATCGATTACAATGGATTAGAACTCAAAAATCGGTTATAATCGATTTCTTCAAATAAAAAATTTGATTAAAATCGTGGCATTCTAATTGATTTTTATTCACAAAATAATTGATCATAATCTGAAATTTGACCACTTTTTTCCTACATGGACGCATCACGTCAATTCCTTGTCATAGGACTATTTACATAAGACGTATTCAAAAGAAGAGAAAAAAGGCTTCTTTTTATTTACAGAAAATCAAAATGTTCACTCTATTTATTTAAATTTACTTTTCTAAAAAGATGCTTGATAATAAAGTCTTCGCTGTGTTTCAAATGAAAATCACTCAATAAATAAAACATGATCAACAAAATATAAAAATATTTTTCTAGATTGTTTTGAAAGAAAAAAAATTATTTGTTCTTTTCATTAAGATTATCTTACGATATAATCAAGAACGGGATATTTCTATATATAGGGATCAAACATAATATGAGATTGAACAGACATAGAAAGATCTCTAGAATTTATCTCACTTATATTATTGTATTGATTAAAGATACCTATGAAAAAAAATTTACGAAAAACTGCATTTGAATGCGTTTTCTTCGGTACGCCTATTTCCTCTATATATTTAATGCATATTTTTAAACGCGTTGAAATGTGTCTTTTTCGATAAAAAACGCAAATAAATATTAGAAAACGCCCTCTTTACGATGCGTCTTATTAATATCTAATGCATTTTTTTTCCTGCTATTTATATCCATTTATCCTATTCTTATACTTACAGGTTTAGGCCTGATTCACACGACAGAAGTGAATACTGTATTAAGAAATATTGTTAGTCGAAAAGTAAATGGACATTTAATACGCTTTATTTTAGATTCTCATTCATACATTGACTTATAAGTGAAGACACACATCAACTTTGTATAGTATTAACATCATATTAAATTGACGGTGCATCTTCACTTATAATTTAATATATCAATCCAAATCCAGAATGAAGTGTTGCTTGCTTTTGTTCAATTGAACACATGAACCGAATTGAATTTTGTTTGGTGTACTAAATTAAATGGGATTTTGAACAGCGTATTGACTCAATACACATTTCAAAAATGTATTCATTTTTCAATCAACCACGTTTCTTAATAGAATATTAACTTGCGTAACATGGACTAGGCCTAATACATATAGGATGATAGTAATATCCTTACACTTATGTGGGTACAGCTATACTCTCAGATCTATATCCATCAGATACATTTCTTATGAATTCTTGTTTTTATTTCTAATAATAAGTCTGCACCTTTTTAAATTGAACTCAACATCTCTTAGAAACATGTAAGGGATATAAACGAAAGAGAAAGAAATAGATATATACCCCCAAAAAAAAATAGTTTCAGTCTGTAATTCTCATTTATTGTCATTATAAAGACACATTTATTTAAAAGTAATTACATATTCTGAAAGCCCGTGGAGTTTTCTATCACGCTGTATATTTACTTATTTTCTTCCGTTCATTTATTGAAAAATAGTTTGAGCACAA